GCTGCTGTTGGTGTTGTTGCTGTTGCTGTTGCTGTTGTAGTTTCTGAAGAAGTTGCATTTGGAGCTGCTGCTCGGAAAGCATATGCTGTGACTTGGGCTGTTGTGCTGTTGGCCTCTGGGCCAAGCTTTGCTGTAAAGCCTGCAAAGTTTGGACTTGCTGCATTTGCATCTGTTGCTCTTTGGGTCTGTGTGCAAGGCTTGATAACTGGTCAACGTGAGGCTGAAAGGACAAATCTTGAGTTGTTTGCACTGTTTGCTGCATGAGTTGGGAGTAGGCACTCATCATTTGCTGTGGATTCCGATTTGTCGCATGATCTGGATTTATCAATCCGCTCGTCCCAGGCGGCAAAACCATCGGCTGTGAGTGGGGCAGCTGTTGGGTTGGTTGCGTGATTGTCGGAGACTGTAAAATTTGGTGCTGGGGCCAGGCCGCATTTGGCTGGAGGAGTTGGTTGACCTGTTGAGTGTTTTGGAAATTCGGCTTGTTTAGCTGAAGGTGGTTCTGTGAGGGTAGACCTGGGGATTGGAAGCTGAGCAGTTTCGAGGGGTCGTCTGGTTTGGCCAGGTTTGTTGGTGTGGCAGTTGACGGAAATAGTCCTGATTGGTTTTGATGATTTTGCTGTTGTTGCATGCTCATCCACTGGACAAGACTGAGGCCCGGGAATATGGAGCTCGAGGAGTCTTTCAAGCCAAAGTCGTCAGGTAGCCAAGGCATGTTTCGCCGGAACATATTTTCTATGTCTGAATCATCATCTAAAAATGAAGAAAACAAATTAACCCAAGATGATATTCAAACCAACTGTTGAGAAACTTGAGGGAAGTAAATATAAGAGAATGGTTGTTTATTCGTAATAATTTTGAAGAAATAAGAATTAAGCTGTCGTAAAATCTGGTGTCATCAGCAATCCCATCAGATAACACAAAATGAGGGAGAGGGAACAAACTGTAAGAAGGATAAAGGGCTTTCACTGTAGTTTTCCCAGAACTCGTGAGATTATGCAAGTGTGGTAACTAATGCTAGAATGAATATTTTCTAACTAATGCTTAATTTCAGGGCACCGGCTGCCTTCTTACCCGGGAGACCCGGATGTTTGGGGAACTTGGGTCTGAAAAACGGTGGTGGGCATATGTAAAAGGGAGTTATGACAGGTTCAATCTCCCAAATCGAGACCCGGCTAGGACGTTCCCCAGCTGTCGATTCATCCCATCCAACCTGATTGTTAAAATAAAAAAACAATAATTTGAAACAAAATAATTGGATTATGTGCAATTTCAGTCAACTCTTCAGCAATATATCCAATTTAAACAGCTGGTTCATAATGCATGCAAGATTCACAGTGACAAGATCTAGCTTATCATGAAAATAAAATTATAATTAGTACCTGAAGATTTCGCCACTGGGAATTTTTCCACCTGACAGGATCGAGATCGCTTATACTCGTAATCGTGCCCATGTACCTCCGAACACCAGAGTCCTCCGTCTCAAACATCATCCTAAACCGCATGCCTAACGAGAGTTGCGTGTACATTGCCTTATTGTACTTAGCAAGCGGGATCACAAATTCTGACGGACTCGCTCTATATAACAATTACCAAAAAAAAAAAAAAAAAAAAAAAAAAAAAAAAAAAAAAGAAGAATTAAAATGTTCCTTCTTTTTTATCTCAGATGTCCTAAAAGAAAGAAAAAAAAAAGTTCATACTGGAAGGTATCATATACACTCCTTTTTTACCTCGGATTGTAGAATATTGTAAAAGGGCTGTTATTTGCGGCGGCATGAGCAGCTGCAGCAAGAATGCCGATGTGCATGCTGTCGCTTGATATCACGGACGATGAAAGAGGGGGCTGCTGCCTATTTGCTCGGCGTATACCCAAAAGAAATTGTGATTTCTCATCTCTGCATATAAATGCAAATACTATTTAAGTTAGGGTGATAAGGACAGTCCGTAATTACGAGAGTTGCTTGGGATCATTTTCAGCACCTTATGAAAAGGACAGCGTCGCCAGCTATGAGTCTCTTGGAGCTCACAAATACGCTCCAACCGGTGGTCAACAGGTGTCGTTTAGGTTGACCTGAAACCAGATAAAGATTGGTCCTTCGCAATTTTCTTGATAATTATGAATTGGAACAACGACATCAATTGAACTAAGCTAGTTATAATCAATCAGTTTCCTGTTTTAAATCCGCTTGATTATTGGTCAAAATTTAGATTGCATGAGAATTTTCTGAACCTCATTTTAGTACCCAAATTATAATTCAAATGTTACCTTAAACTGAAGAAAACTGGTTTTGTTATTACTTATTCCACTTTTCCAGTGTTTCAAAAATGTTCAAGATTCGAATATTTACCTCTATATATATGTCTAAATGTCCATGTTTGATCATGCAAGTCTCTAGCTGATAGCTCCTGAGCAGGAGGTTGCATCGAGAAATCCTAAATAAAACAATAGTAACAATAATAATAATAATTATAATTATATGCAAACGAATCCATACGTTCATCACAAGATCAACTTATGAAAAAACCTAAGCAGTACAACAATGAGGAGCAATTTTAAAATTACCAGGGGCGGAAAAATCTTCTCAGCCGCCCGACGAGGGACCGAAAAGCCACCGTGAGTGCTGGTGTCACTTGCCGTCAGAGTCTTGCAGAAAAACTCGGTTGGTTGTCTATTTTGCTTCAGTCCGAGATCAGACACAAGAAGAGCTTCCTGGTCATACTGAAAGGACAAAAAAAACCGTATTAATATCACCATCCAGAAAACGAATTTTGCCAAAAAGAAAAAAAATTTAAAAAATGTACAAATGGAAAATCAGGTGACAGACCTTGCTCACTGGTTGAAGAGTCATCTGAGCATACACCTCATCCGTCTCACCATCAGCCTACCGATAAATTAAAGATAAAAACGTATAAAGCCGGACAAACAATTACTACATTAATTAAATAGAGATATAAAAAGATCTTTGACTACAGCTATTATGACTAACAATTCATTTCAAAATTTTGTATGAATGGTCTGGTATTTGGAGTACATGTAATGTGACATTGTGGAGCATGCAGATCAACTTGGAAGGAAGATTAGGATAATTTGGTATGCTATCGGCCTCTTTCTGCATCGATGCTGCTACCTGTGTAGTTAAAAAACAAAAAAAAATAAAAAAAAAAATTGAAAACGGGATATTTTAGACATGTTCATATGAAACTGGAAAGATGATTTGCCGGGTTTCAGCATCCTCAGAAAAATGGCATACTTGTTCACTATGTCCTTGAGGAAAATAGACGACGAGACTTCCAACAGGCGGCATACAAACCAAAGGGCCCGCACAAGCATGCCATAACTCGGAATTGATCATCTTCTTTTCTCCTGTGCAAAATAGACAATTTACAATATTAAAACAACATCAAAGGTATTGATAAGAATAATTTGACTTCTCCATCAAGATTTACAAGTCATTTGATATTTCGAATTTCTTGGATATCTTTTTGCTTCATTCTAAAATACATTTTTTATGAGTTTGCATTATGGCTATCTCATTCAATTGTAGAGAGTTGTACAGTAATGGAGTAAAAAAAATGTGAATAATAAAGAAAGAAAATAATCTCATGGGAGAGATCAGATATAAAGTGTTATAGAATCTAACTATTTCAATTTGCATGAAAGATCATACAATCCAGAACAAATGCTTTTGCTATAGCCAAATCGTCTACATCTGATGCCTAAATATACATGTGCCTGAAATCGGGGACGAACACAGGTTCGGAATTAAGTCAGTAGCTTCGATCATTCAGCTTCGTATCAGTAGCTTCGCAGCAGGATTAAACTCTACTGTTAAAAGAAAAGCTCGCACAAGAATACAACCTTTTTGAGCCTTGGACAACCTCACTTAAGGAATTTATAGAAAATCAAACTGCCAAAAGTTTCAGAGATCAAAAAAAAAAAAA